GAAGTGCAAATCATTTGCTATCTTTTAAATAATACCTACGTGATATCCAAATGAAGTGATGAAGTCAACTCACTTCGCGGTATACACTCGGTATCCTTTACAGATACGATTGTGCACATTACGCTTAAGATAAAATAACTTTATTTTAGCAGGGTAGCCCATTCAGCACTAAGCTGGTATCCATAGGGGCCCTGCTTACCCATCCAAGAATAACCTGCATTCTACATATAGTAGCTTGTGAGTCACTAATGGGTTAAGCCGGAAATAATCTCTGAATGTTCCAAAAGGGATATTCGGGTGTCCAGCGTCATCATAATCTTTCTTTTATAGGAACAAGCAAGCTTTGTGAAGACGCATGCTGCAAGTCATATCACGACATTTTTCTTGAATCTCAACTACATGAATAACTCTAACGTTGTAAGTTGTTGTACAACTATAAGTAGTCACAGTTCTGCTTCAATGAAGGCTTTCCACGCAGGTTATCTTAATGTACGTTTTCATCATTCAGGAAACTCTCAGTCACAAATGGCATGTTCATGATCAGGATATTGTCAAAGATCAAATGTCGCCAATGGATGAGAGATGCAACTCTGCTAAGGGTCATTATAATCCTTACAAAGTCAGTTTGGAGGTGAGTGTGCAAGGTTGTTTCTTGTTTTTGAAATGTATGCACTGTCATGCTATGAATTGGTGGTTAATCATATTATGAATACTTATCATGAAAATTCGCAATTTGGCCAGTGAGCTGTGAGCTCTATACAATTGAAAGCGACTTTAATCTTCTCATGCACTTCTCCAAATTTATTAAACCAAGATTTGATCGATCTGTTTACGACCGTTAGCTTTCCACCCGTCACAATGGATCTTTTTGTCACCAGAAACTGCAAGTGTCTCTAAATTTCCATTACAGAATTAATCGGTTGTGTTATCTTCCAATTTTCAGGCAAATTACTCTAGTACATGTGGTCCAAAGAATCTGTTACGTTGCGAGCTTGGAGACACTTCCAGTAAAGTGGGAAAATATAATATTGGTGGTGGGAAAAATCGTTTCACTGAGTCAGAAAATTACTTTGCTGGCCTTAACACAAGTGAGCATAGCTTAGATGAAAATTTAATTTTATAATAGTCAAAGTACAATGTATCGATCCCAGCTGGTAGCACATGTGGCTTCGTGTCGCTGTTATTATTATTAATGTTGTTTTTAATATATGAATACTGAGTGAACTAACCAGCTTTTAATTAGTGATGAACTCGACGGAGAGGAAGATTGGGTGAGAGTAGGGGGGGGGTATTTC